GTAATTTTTAATTTAGCCTTGTACAATGTCAATGTATATGCATTCAGTCATTTTTATAACACAAACTTAAGAGTTACAAATAAGAAAATCCTAAATAAAATATGCAAATGTATAATTTAGTGCCATAACTGTATGAAGAACCTAAGACTTAAATATATCTACTTGTATCTGTCTGTCTTTTGTCCAAGATAGTTGGCAGATACATAGTCATAGATGATAGGAATAAAATTATATAATTATAATTATATATATATATATATATATATATATATATATATATATATTTAGAGAGAGAGAGACTTTTTACAAGTCTAATCTCACTCTTTTTCAGGATCCTGGACCCATATCTGACAATTATTGCAACTTTTTGCCTTTTTTTCCTGCAATTATTTTCCTAAACTGATTGGATATAATACCATTTATTATGGTAACAATTAAGGATAATCAGGGGCTGATCCAGCCATTTTTAAAAGGGGGAGGGTCCCAACCCAGGAATAAAGGGGGGTTCCAATTATATGTCCCCATTCAAATGCATTGATCACCCAAAAAAAGGGGGGGGGGGGTCACATGAAAATAGATTTTTTAAAAGTAAAATAAGATTTTCAATGGAATAAATGTCTTACAAGGTATTAGATGTTAATAAAAAAGTTTTAATTTAGATGTTAATTTTTTTCCACTTGGACACATTTAATATTTTTCCATGTGAATTTCACATGAAAAATTTAACGTAAAATTCACGTGAAAAATTTAACTTGAATTCACGTCAACAAAATTTGCCTGTGTAACACATGCGTTACACATGCGTTTTACTATACATGTGTTACGCATGCAAATATCGCATGTGTCACATGCGTTTTCTAACACATGCGTGACACAGGTGTTTTTCTGACACATGCAATTCCCATGCGTGTGTTACGCATGTGAACGCATGTGTACCACGCATGATTCCCATGCGTGGCAAGAAACATATGTATTACGCATGTGACACACCTGTGACACATGCGTTTTTAGGTACATGTGTGGCATTTTTGCCCTAGTATATCATATCATTATTTAAGAGTTTATTGTGTTTTTGTTGGTGTGATGATTGTTATTGTCAATATAAAAATAAGGAGATGCAGTACGATTGCCAATAAGACAACTATACAGTAAAGTTCAAATGAAGTGAATGTTAGTAATTGTAGGCAAACGTACGGCCTTCAACAATGAGGAAACCCCATACCGTATGATCGGCTATAAAAGACCCCGACATGAAAAATATGAAAAAATTCAATTAAGGAAAACGTTCTTTTATGTACCTTTTGTAAGTCGACTGATCGAGTTTAAAGGAACGGGTGGTGTGCAATCTATATCACTTCATTCAAGACGATTTAGAACTTGCTATACTGTATAGATACTTACGAAGACCGTAAGAAGTTTGTAGAGGTTTATCGGTTATTTTTATCATTGATTTGATTTTTGATTGACGTGTAATTTCGGAATGAAGATTACTGTAAGAAAATAATATATCAAGGTTTGACGAGTGACAAGAATAACTTTTTCAATGGATGTTGTAAAGCAAATTTAGGCAAAAGTATTTCAAAAGATGAAACGAGTAAATTCTGGTTTATCTAAAATAATATCCTTTCTCAATTACTTCATGTTTGGAAGAATGGGAAAGAAAGTTCGCATTGGAATACTAACCACTTGATAGTCTTAATCAAACTATAGAAAGAAAAGAACTAATGTTTTGACTCTTTTATTGGATGTCCTGTTACTGATTGTTTTAAGTCCATTTACTTAAATGGAATTGTTACAACTGATGCAAATATAGTTTCTCAAAGAATTATGGAAAGAATTATATAAGATCTATAGCATTGTACCATACAGTTAATGACACCCTTACTCTTCATCCGATATATATCTGTTCACTTGCTAATATTATTGATAAGAAAATATGATTTATTTAGTTTGAATTGGCTTTCAACTAGGTTTCTGTAATTGCGAGAAATCTTCTATTGGTAGTTATTGTTTCTTGTCTATTTGTTAAGTGGGTTTTGTCGTCCTGTGTTCACTTGTGGGTAGTTTTCTCATTTATAATCCTACCTCATCTTATTATTCTTATACAGATCATCATACGGCAGTCCAGATTTCCAGCCAGTCCTTCTTTCTGTTCTACCTTGCAGAACCAACCTATTGTAAAAATAAATAATGGTATCTCGTACTGAGAATGCATGAAATAGTTGCCACTGGACTTTAAATTGAGAGGAACTGTTGTTCATCAGTCTGTCAATATATATGTTTTAAAAATGAAGTAAGTGATCTTAGCAGAGGCATAGCTTCAATTGAGATAGTTGGCAATCACTAAATGTTTGACCAAGATATAATATTTATAGAGAAAGAAATTTACATGTACGTATATTCTTGCTACAGGATTACAATGGTTTCTAACATTTGATGTCTCTTCCATTTATACAAGTTTTTCCTTTTCTATGCATAGATCGATTGAACTTTGTCTCATAAAAAGGCTAACACAGATATTTTGGAAGGTACAAATCATAGTTTGTAGCAAAACTCGCTGATTCATGCATAAAGTTATGGAAAATTGACTTGACAATGTATGATTATTTATTGGCAACATATTTGCTTTGTTTGATAGGAGTGTTTCGCCAAAAGAATGTTTTTTTTTTTCTTTGGGAAGCTAACGTTATCCTTTAATTTTGAAAAAAGTTTTTCTGCGTATTCTAACTGAAAAGTTCGATGACAATGTTGATTGCATCTATCTCATTGAAATTGAAATAAAGGATACATACACTCCAGCATCTGCATATGTGGAATATATATATAGTGGTTCCTAATAATGAAGACTTGATCACTTTAATAATGTTAAGATAGTCGGTAAGATAAATTTGTTACACAGTGTGCTAGTGACCTAATACGATATATACGGGGTCAGTAAATTTCATATGGGGTGAGAGCTAAGCACCCTGTGCAACTAATAATATTTCCCTGTTGATACGATTTCCAAGGGCTTCTGTATCTTACCATGGTCTCTGGTTACAATGAAGCTGCTGCGCATGCTGAACCAGGGGCTCGTTATGGTAAAAAGTAAAATCACAAAAATACTGAACTCCGAGGAAAATTCAAAAAGGAAAGTCCCTAATCAAATGGCAAAATCAAAAGCTCAAACGCATCAAACGAATGGATAACAACTGTCATATTCCTGACTTGGTACAGGCATTTTCTTATGTAGAAAATGGTGGATTGAACCTGGTTTTATAGCTAGCTAAACATCTCACTTGTATGACAATCGCATCAAATTCCATTATATTGGCAACGATGCGTGAACAAAACAAACAGACACAATAGGTAAAAATGTCAAAAATAGGGGTACAGCAGTCAACATTGTGTTATCATCTTGATCACTATAAAAACAACAATTCAACACTTTGAAAATTACTGACGTCATCATGATTTAATTTACCGTCAATCCAGTCCTCCTTTCCTAGTTTATCCCATAACCTAATGTGTTTTATCACCTGATAGTTAATTGTAATAAGCAATCAGATGGGTGACCATTTGATATTCGGTGTGGGGAATTAGTTTCACTTTTGTTTACAATTATTTCCTGCATTTTATAGGGCAGAATATTCGTCTTTACTCTGTCTTGGAAAGATTATTTTTTTTCAGTTCAGGTAAGGATATCTATTTCCAAAACAAAATCCTTCTGTCTTACTGTATTGTTTACTAATAACTACACAGACAGTATGAACATAATGGCCTTGAACGTTAAATCAGCTATTTCCTTGTGTAGTAGAGAGAAAGCCACGCTCTCTATACGATAAATAATCATTGCAACAAAGCTAATTTGCATGTTGCAGAGCATCCTGTCTCCCCTATATCATCTCCTTGTCCTGTGCTAGTCTAAACTTCCTGTGTCCTTCGTCGTTCTCCACTCATTTTGTAGATCCTACATAATGAACATGTTTATTTGTTCAGCCTGAATATGCATCAAATATTTGCAATAAGCAAACAACAAATAAATCCTTTATAAAATTAGCATTTTTTACATGTTTAACTTTGATTGGTTACAAGAGAAAGAGCTAGATTATGAAGCAAACTTTCTTCTGTCCGTAAAAACCTTAATGTTAAGTTAAAAGAGAATGTGACATGCAAGTCAATATCTTTAAGAGTGTAATTATTGAATTTAGAGACATCCTTAATCTATATGAAACTTACATTATAATAGTGTTTTGCAAATGTGTTTTTTCTTCTTCTTGTCTTCAAGGTACAATGTTTAATTGTGTACTTTTGAGTAAAATATATTGTTGGGTTTTTTTTTCAACGAAGAGGTTCATGATATTATACTTTCTGGATTTGATGTAAAATATACTCTCTTTTGTATGATGTTATCCTTTTTGACCAGTGGGATATTCGGTACGGATTGTATTTATTCAAGATAAATTCACCTAATTTTGTAAACTTTTCAATATTGTTTTTTTAATTATCTTTTACTTCTAGTGAGCAATTTTAAAAAAAAAATCCTTTATTTTTCAAATATCATAACTGATTTTATTTAGACATTGTTAAATTGAACTTTTAAGAGTGGCTTATGGTGTTTTGGTGTAAATTTGTACCATATGCGTGCAGTAGTCCCCATGTCCTGAATATCACATCCCGTTATAAAAGTTTTTTTTATTAAATGATTTTGATACGTGTTGGATTTTTTTTATATTTTACATACTTACATATATAAGAAACATCAAATAAATTACCTTTTAAAAGTAATTAATTACCAAAAAGGACATTAGCATTGTCCTTTCAAGCAGACATATGCAGAGAATGCGTCATTGTGTGGCATTGATTGTCCTTTCCAGCAGACATATGCAGAGAATATGCATCATTTTGTGGCATTGCTAAATACCTCTCCTACCCATTTCTGATTTTGGATAACTAGGCGCATACATCTTGATAGTTTTTTTAAAATCAAACTTAAAAACTATAATAAGATAAAACAGAAACTTAAAACAAGACTTTAATGATGAAAAGAAGATAGTGCAAGTAGTCTGTGAGCAGATGGGCGATTATTCTGTATCTATTCTCATATAGATGATAGTAAGAATTTGATTGTTGGTTAAACTATAGCAAACAATTAGTCCATATCAAGTATACATTTGTGTAGTTTCATGTTAACAGTGAGGAATGTCACAGTAATCCCATCTAACGTTAGAATCGGTTGTATAACACCAAGGCCTATTCTCGCCAGCTCCTGGATTTCTACAGTAGTCTTCTTGGTCGCTAATAAAACTATATGAATGAGTGTGTGGTGCTTGATCAGCCCATTTCTGACACGGTACCCCATCTTCTGTTTGACGAACATTCCCATAGTATTCGATGCCATTATCTGATTGCAGACACTGTTTGGCAGGAGTTGCTGGAAAACAAATATCTTTATTTTTTTTTTTTTTTTAAATTGGCCTGCTGTAATAAGCCTTTTTCATGAAGGAGCAAATCTAATTCTTATTCTAATGAAATAACAGAGTTCTAATGTCCCCCGCGTTGCACATATTTCATCTATCCAAGGGCAATAACCAAAACAAAAATCTTTTTTTTTTTGTTCTATAAAACTTTTTACAAATATTTTAAAGAAACGAAGGACTGAGAGCAAATACAATGAAATTTCCAATATAATTATTTTTTCCAAATGGCATAACTCTTATAAAAACATTTGATCGGTACTGATTTTCGAACTTGTCCGAGACATTGTTTATACAAACCTTTGACATCAATTTGATACAAATCTGGCAAAAATTGTACACATGAGAGCGCTAATAATAAAATTTTCCATATAATTAGTATTTTTACCAATGGGCATAACTCTTTGAAAAAAATTGATCGGCACTGATTTTCAAACTTGTCCGAGACATTGATAAAATAAACCTATGATTTAAGTTTTATAAAAATCTGGTACGAATTGTTCACGGAAGAGCGCTAACAAGACCGGACTGACAGACGGACGGACGGACGGACGGGCGGGCGAACGGGCGGACGCCCGGTATTTCTTTGTCCCCCACAACGACAGGTTCTAAATCGCTCCAAGTCTAGGAGTGAACCCAGACTATCAAAGTCGTAAATAGTACAGAAGGAGACGATATTGAAAAATATAAAGAGTAAATCTGTTTAGAAAGAGAAACAATTAGTCCTGTTTCAGAATTTGAGTTGATGAATTGGTGTAAATCACCAAAACTAAATAAACGCAATGATTATGCGAAAAAGTATACTCATAACCTTTATAAATAAACCTTATACACCAAAACGAAATATTTTTTGACAAATTATTATAAACTTTTTTTCTTTCCTTATTAAATAATATTACAGTAAAAACTTAGTGTTACAATTCTGTGTATATTAAATTCTTACCGATAGAATCATACTTCCATTATAAATCTATTGATTTAATAAAAGTAAGTAAAAGTTGTAACCAAATTATGAATGCATAGAATGTTATTGATATTTTTTATACGACTTTGAGACGTAACTCACTTCCTAAATAGAAGGACCAAACTCATTATCCAAACACGATATCTATCTGTGCAAACAACTGAAAATGTAACTAGTAATCTTGTGATCACGTATACACCAGCCTTCAGGTAAGATTAACATTTGTACTAATAAGTTCGTTAGTCTGTTTTCTGTTTTGAATTTTGAGTATTTCCAAAAGTCAAATGAAATAAATTTGCTCACACAGATGAAATTTGAAATTTAGAAGCCCCTGACAGCAACTCATTTTGTACTAAATATTATAAATCATGATTTTATTTGTTGATGCTATTTAAAAAACGAAATCATATCTGTGTTGCAGTGATCTATTTGCGATCCGGTAACAACAAACTTTTCTCTTTCACCTTAGTTTTCCAGTCCCCTTTCAAATCTTTATACATTTGGTATTATAGTGATTCTCGTTTATAATTCGGAAACAACTTAATCTTGAAATTTTCCTAAAGTTAAGGAACATATGCATGACTCTAAATTGAATAAAAGGAAAGATTAAAATCGAATTTCTATTTATAATTGTGAAACCTAATTGTAAAAAACGAAAGAACACTCGAGACGGAAGTAAAGAAAATTAAATCTTTTAAATACTGGTTATATTAGTACTTACTACAGAATGGAATATCACAGAAGTCATATCGTATTTGGGGATCATTCGTGTAGCACCATGGTTTTTCATCTTTGTCCGGATTACGACAGAAATTTTCAGGTAAATCGTGTTTGCTATGAGAATGAGGGTTATCTGAAGCCCACATCTGACAAGTATATCCTCCAATAGTTGTATTTATTTGTCCTTGGTATTCATATCCAGCTATTGACCTCTTGCAATCGTTTAATGATGGAACTTAGATAAAAAAAACATTTCTTCATGTGTCGGTTTTTTAAATACATAATATTTCTAATATACCGAAAAGCTTTATTAAGACAGTAAAACATTTGGTTCCTTCTGCTACTTTACTATTACTTATTCATAACGACTGTAGTAATAATGCAAACACTGTTATCGAACTTATTGTGTTAGAAGTGCCTTTTTGTATTCACTTCCACCTTCGACGTTGACAGCAAACCGTTTGGAAAGTCAAAGAAAATAAAACATTAGAAATTTCGTAAACAGGACAAATACAGTGTCTTAATACAACATTGCGTAGGAGAGAAGAAATCGTTTTTATTATTAAAAAGTAGAAATAAACAAAAAAGATTTGTAAAATAAACCTACATTTTATCGATTACTAAAAAAGCTGATAGCAGCGCAACTAACAGTCCACCAGTGATAATAATTATGATGAATTAAAAAAAGAATTTCGTATCCGTGATTTCAATGATACATTTTCATTTGAAGAAATCGGTCACGTGTTTATATTATTGTCACAAACTTTTGGCTATGAACGTACCCAATGAATTTATTATAGAAAACAAACGTCATTTTTGTGTGTGTAAATCATAAAGATATTTTACATACATTAAATCTTTTGATCTTGAGCTTGTCTTATGAAGGGTATTGTAGTATGCACTGGAATCGGTACCAGACGTGTATATTATCGCTGTCGGTTTGTTTGTTTGTTTGTTATGGTCTAACTTATAAGACCACATGCTGCAAACCATAATGATAGCTAGATTGTATCATACGTTCTGTATGGAACAAAACAACTTTCATAGAACCATTTCCATAATGTGCTTAGAAAGACTTTTTATACTAAAAAGGCCATAGTTTATGTTAACCTCTTATGTTTAGTTTTAGTACATTCCTTACAGTGGCATGATAAAGATTGATAGTTCTTAATTAGAATTATTCATTTATCAGTTTTATGCAATGCATTAGAAATTCGTTTATTGTTTTTAGCATGAATTAGGCCGATGGTTTTCTCATTCGTCACATTGTGTAATGACAGGTCTTTTCATAGCTTACAATATACGGTATAGGTTTTGCTCATTGTTGAAGGCTGTACAATGACCACCTAAAGTTGTTTATATCCTCGTCATTGGGTCTCTGTTTGATAGTTGTCTCATTGACAATCATACCACATTTCCTTATGATTTCGATATGGTAAAAATCGTGAAAATATTTGACAAAAAAATCAGTAAAGCCCAATGAACATTTTGCTTTTGTAATTCATATTGACATAACATTGAATTAAAAGAAACCCGAGAATTAACAATATGAGATTATCCTCACTTTAAGGAATTGACGTTGTGTCTCGTCTATGTAATTTACTTTTACCTTTTAGTTCACAACGATCACCTTCATATCCATTTAGACACTGACATGAATATCCATCGTTTTCTGTAGTCTGACAGGTTCCCCCATGTGAACACGGGTTTGTTGTACATCCTTGATTATCTGAAAAGTAATAAAAGCATTACAGTGATCAACAAAAACAAAATAAAGCCAACATTCACTTACACTAACTGTACTGTATAATTAAGAGTACATATATGTAGAAATTTCAGTTTCCTATCAGTGTAGCATTTGTAGTAAATAAATATAATTTTACCACAAAAAGGAATGTCACAGTATTCTTTTCCACCAGTTGGATCTGTTGATAAGCACCAAGGACTTGTTGAGCCATCTGGGTTCCGGCAAAAGTTTTCCTGATCCTCAAGGTACCAGTAATCATGTTGATGCGGTTGTTGGCTGTCCCAACGTTGACATTCAGAACCAGTTTTTGTAACTGCTATACTTCCAAAGTAATCAGTGCCCTTACCAGTTTGCAAGCACTCTTTAGGCTTATCAGCTGTAAAATCATCAGTTAGAAATATCATTGTTCATCGATTAAATTCAATCAAGTACCTTAAATTCTGTTTTATGTATAGGGATCACACATATTTTTTCTTAAAGCAAGACATATAAATAATATTGTTTTTCTTCTCATTTTTCTGAATTGAAGTATATTTGAGTAAATCAACTCTTAGTAAAGGTGTTTATCTTTTCAATAACCTGATATTATTTTTAGGTTTTTTAAAAAGAATTCGTACTGTTTAGAGATTTAATTTAAACAGTTTGCACTTGGTATCTGTATAATTCTCTATGTCAGTTTACTATCTCGTTGTTTGTATTATTACATTGGTTGAATGAAGTACTGTAATTTACCATTAGAAAAACCCCAGATAATTTCACAGGGTAATAAAGCCGAAAATGCTCTCTGACGTCATACAAACAACGGTTGTTGTCAAGATGTTGTCGAGGACGATGCATCAAAACGAATTAAGAACGCGTAAAAACATATTATAGTTACTTGCATTTTCTACTTAATATCCATTAAATGTCAATGTAATGGATAAAAAATCCAAGAATTAACCCATGGAAAAATATTCAACTTGTGAGCACACAACATTGACAATAAACCAAGGCGTTAAACGCATCATTTGATCAATGTGTTGCTCGGTTGCTCGTTGAATATGTTTGTAATTTGAATTGTTGGATAAGCTATTCAATCTATAACTAGCTATGACTATGTTCATGTTGTTTATACCTTGTTCTCAATACATTGATTTTCTATTTTCCTCTTTATATAACTGGTTCGGTATCTTCATCCTGATTTGCATATTTCAAGAATACACTATTTGTATTGTAGACAAGCATTGTCATGGTTCTTGAATATATATGTATGAAAGGTAAAATGGCTTCTGTACATGTATTAGATACATTATCGAACGACACTGATATCATAAGAAACACGTTGTGTTATTATTTCAGGAGATAAAAAATGGCCATAAATATGTCGAAAGTCTAAGAAAAACACTTTACTTACTACAAGTCGCAATGTCACACGTATCCCATCTTATGATCTGATCGTCCACGTAACACCATGGGGAAGGATCGCTTCCACTACCTCTACAAACCGCATTATCTTCGCAAGCTTTATCCTGTGTTGTTGTAGCTTTACTTCCCAAGTAATCGTATCCATTTATAGACCGGACACATTCTTGTATATCTAATCAATGGACAAAAATCACACAATGTTATGCATGTTGACCATTAAGAAAACCATTTTAGAATCTTTTGAGAACTTTGTTTCTTGTGGTCAAGATGTGTTCATTTAGGGTTTATAAAAGTCGAAAATTAACTTTTACATAAGACTCAGCAGTATATTTAATTTACCAAGCCTACAACCATACTCTTCTCTTCAAATGTCTATAAACAATTACAATGCAAATATCACGTCAAAAATTTGGTGCGTCCGAAGAGCTTTCCTGGAATAACCGTTATAAAAGACGCTCAAAACCAACAATTTGAAAGCCAAGGATGTATAAACTATTGAATACTTAGTACTCGTGGAACTTTATGACCGAAATGGCCATAAAAGAACTGCCAAATTCAGTTTTTCAATTGAGAGTGTTTGAACCTTAGTTTCCTAATAATTTTAAGTTAACAATATAACCATGAAAACAAACACCAATATCAGAACCAATCTGATTTTCCAATATGTAATATGACTACATTGTACGTAAATATAATACTAATATGATGTTTTGAAACATTATATTAATATGAATATAAAAAAAGAAGTAAGAAGATTTGATATGATTGCCCATTAGACAACTGAATACGAAAAACCAAAGAATATGGATGTAACCAGTAGTCACTATAAACCCTTCAGCAATGAACAATGCCAATATCGTAGATTAAATATAACAGGCATGACACAATTTGAAATACATCCAAACAAGAAAACCAACGGCCTGATTTATGCTAAAACAATGAACAAAAACTAAATATGACAGATAGCAATCAACGACAACTACTAAATTACAGGCTCATGGACAGAACATGCAGAATATAGTAGGATCAAAAGTTAAAACCTGGCATAGGTGAAAAATTCTAATCTCATCAGAACGGAACCCGACACAAAAAACAAATTGCAAAATGTCGAAAGACACAAAGAGTACTTGTCATTTTTTAAGGCTAGTTCAAAGCCATCTAAAACTAATAAATAAATCAAGGTTTCCCATAATAAAATATCAATCAGAACACAACCAAAGTCTCAAGTGTAAAGATGCCTTACACAGTCTTGGAAAAACATGACTTTGTGTAATGTCAAAATACAGGTATCGACAGTATGATCGACATATGATTTCTAAATTGTATAGCACTACATTCTTAGTTAAGTTTTAATATTTAAAAAAACAAAATTAACGTATATAATTATAAGAACCGATAAAGACAATATTCAATATTCATTACAGTGTTACAGTAACTACTAATGATTTATAAATAGCACCACCTTACACTTTTGAATGCGAAAATAATTGAATGTTTTTTCAATATGTATGTCTCATTTAATCTATAAAACATTGAAAGGATGGAGATAGGGTTGATATGTATAAACATAATCGTATGATACAGTGGTTCTTGAATTACTATAGTCAGGTACGCTCGAGTTACCAAAGTCTGAAATCTTATTCATTTAAAAAAAGACAGTCTCAATTAGGTAGTTCATACACTAAACAGATTCCCGGAACACCTTTGTACAGTATGTATATGAAACAGAGACGCCAATAAATGTATGCTTACGACAGTATGGAATTTCGCAAAATTCCCATCGATCGTCGGGATCTGTGGTGTAACACCATGGCATAGGTTCATCACCGAGAGTATTTCGGCAATAATTGTCGTCATTGTCATATGCATGATAAGAATGTGAGTGAGGAGAATTAGAATCCCAACGTTGACATGTTTTCCCGTCTTTTGTTACACTTAGGGTTCCGATGTAATCTTTTCCCAGGGCAGATAAAAGACAGTCAGACTTCACAGGCATATCTGAAAATTTGTAGTAATCGCATAAGAATTATTTCAATCAAAATAGGTTAAACTTTATTAAATAATCGTTATCTCATCTACATTACGATTAAATGATATATGTATTGTGTATACTTTTGATGGTTTTTTGTAATGACTGTTTTTGCAACAAATCATTTATTATATGGTAAGTCGTTCATAAATATTAACACTAAAAAGTTATTATTTAAAACTACTTTCTTTAAACGAAAGTATTTCAAAGACTTCGACTTTGTGTGTCTTTTTTAAAAGCCATTAGTTTAGAAAGAAAATAAACAGTTTAACACAAAGTACGTTTATAAACGGTATAAGAGACTCAAAGAGCAAGGAGAGTCAGCAACTAAAAAAAAAGATTATTGTAGCAGTCCAGTCTAAAATTAACTTGTATTTACTAAAAATATAAAACGATATTGTGCATCTTACTTATGATAATGTGGTTATATGATATGTCATAAACAGTTCAACTAATGTATTTTTAACAGTTTCGAATGCATTTAAAATCTATGATATTGCCTTATAACTAAATTGAAAAAAATTAAATTAATAACCGAAGTAAGGAAGCACAGAATGCACTAATAAAATGGTTGAAAGTCTTGTAACAGTTTCTTTCTTGTTTTATGTCATGATTGTGTGCTTTTTCACAATTTTATCTTTTCTCAAAAAATACTTATGAAAAAGATATAGAACAGAGATATTCAAACGTATTGTTATGTTACATGAATTTGTTACGTTCACATTTTCTTCTTTAATTTTCCCATCTTTTGTATTTCGTTGTTCAGTAAAATAAACCAGCAACGTGATTTGTATATATTTATTTATTTTTTTTTTTTATTTGGATATGTTTAATATCGCCAATGTTTAGCTCATTGCAGTCCTGTCAAATTCCTGGTACCGAAACCCAGATCCGCGGCCATGACTTTAGAATTAAATGACCGGTAAAGCATGCACAGTAGGAGATGTTTATCCTGTATATGCAATGAGAAGTCTCGATCCGTGTGAAAATCATGAAATTGTCTTTGCAGAGTTCACTTCATATTGAAGAATAAGTCGATTTATTCTATTTATACTGTAATTAAAAATCAAAATATGTAGCTTGAATTATATAATTAAGATAGACTTACCACAAATCCCTGGAATTAATTTGATGTCATCGATAGCTATATCACCTTCCCAGTCACTTCCACGTGTTGCTTCAATTACAATCTTAAACGATAAGTATAGAAAAATAGAAAGAAATAGCCATAAGCCATAGTTTTTCCTGAAAACAAAAAGGTTTAGACAGTCAGGATAAAACACTGAAAATATAACGACACAATCAAAACTCAACAATCGGCTAAAATACGTCAAAGGACATTGGTGTCTTTAAGTAGATAGGTATGAACTTTTTATTTAAACACATTCATGTTTCATTATATATAAACTTGTGTCACTGTCAGAGATCGCTTTTAAATCACACAATGAGTTTTTCCTACTGAATTCAGTTGTATTTGTAAAATATATCACAGCTGTATATTTGGATCAAATGTTTAATTTTATATTTCTTAGAATAGGTTGAAAAAAAAGTGGAATTATCGACTACGATTTCAGATTATTTTAGAATTAATACATCACTCGAACGTTAATAAGCAAGTTTGAAAATCAAAACCTGTGGTTAATACTGATTTCAGGAATCAAGAATCCCTCGGGGTCTCATTGAAGTTATTGGTATAAACGAGTGGTCTTAATGAAAACGTTTCAATCGAATAAAGAGGAAACTAATAAAAAACGAAGGAGTTCCACTTTAAGTATTATAACTTTAACATTGCAACAACGCCTGCATTCCTAGTTAATACGATATTCCAGAGCTTGCATTTCCTATTATTATTTCCTTGATAGAGGGTTGCTGCTTTCAAGGAGGAAATTAAACCAAAATTTTCGATTGTTGAAGTTGAAATCATCCCTTCGAAAATTTTACGGACGCAAACTTCATTACGAGATGTTTGAAGGTTAAAGAATATCTGTTTCGCGGATGACGACAGAAAAGTTTCAATCATCGTAACCACAATCCCGTACTCTTTTCCTTGAAAGCGACATACCAAATTAGAATTATCATCGGGTTTTTCTATAAAGAGCACAACGGGTGCCACATGTGGACCTGGATATGCTTACCCTCCAGGGCACCTAAGATCAACCCAGGTTTGGGTTGGGGTCGTGTTGCTCAGTCTATAGTTTAATATGTTGTGTTTTTATAATGGTGTTTATCGTTTGATCGTTTTTCTTTGTTTTTTTTTTTTTGTTTTTTTTGCCATAGTATTTCATCTTCTAACTTCATCTTTAAAACCAAGAGGAAAGATAATTCTACTTATATCATTTCTTGTTAGAAATGTGTTTTCATTAGATGTAAATACCTGTAAATTGACTGTTGAAGGTATGTTTATAGCAGCAACAAGCCAACTAAATCCTTGGTTTCCACTTTTTGACCACAAGACATTTGAGGTTGATTTGACAGTTAAAGATCCGATTCCGGCACCAAACATATTGTAATAGAATTTTAAACAACGGTCTTCCGCTATGAGAAAAACATTTTGACATTAATTTATATAATTTATATTCACTTTCAGAGTAAGGTTGAAGATTACGTAAAAAATAAAATTAAGAATGAAAATAGGGAGTATGACAAAGAGACAACCATCCGACCAAAGAGCAGATAACAGCCGAAGGCCACCAATAGGTCTTCAACGAAGCAAGAAAATCCCCTAAATAAAATTGTGTACTGGTTCAGTGAAAATGAACGTCACGCCAAGCTCCAAAACATATAAAGAAACTTAAATTAAAAAACATACAAGACTAACAAAGGCCAGAGGCTCCTGACTTTGGACAGGCGCAAAATGCGGCGGGGTTAAACATTTTTTGTGAGATCTCAACCCTCCCCCTATACCTCTAGCCAATGTAGAATAAAGAAACACACAGCAATACGCACAGTAAAACTCAGTTTAAAAGAAGTCCGAGTCCGATGTCAGAGTAGGTAACAAAAGAAACTAAGCAAAATGACAATGATACATAAATTAACAAAGGACTACTAGCAGTTACTAACATGCCAGCTCCAGATCTCAATTAAACTGATTGAAAGATTATGTCTTCATCATATGAAAATCAGGTACAATTCCTCCCGTTAGGGGTTAAGTGTCATATCATCATAAAATATATGAGAAGAACATAACCCGTATCATGCCAACAACTGGTTTTAGAATAAATGTGTTTATTTCCGATGCAAAGACCCTATGAGTGAATCAATATTAATACCAAAATAGTGTATAAATTGTGTATGTTCTTTTTTTTAAGAAGGAGCGATATCCGATTATCTTGAGGAGACGAATATCATTCTTTCAATGTAACACCCTTTACATTATCATATGGTCAAAGAAGGCACTTTATACATCAGGTTCAATGATGGAAAAACATCGACACAAGAAGTAAGTCAACAACCTATGAAAATTTACTTTCTTTTGTAGACAGCACAAATCAAAAATAATAGACCAATTGCTACAGGAATAAGTACGACCTTTACGCTGATGATTTCAATTAAGCATTTTAGGCTGAATATAACACTATCTATCAGCATAAAAGACTCATGTCATTGTACTTTCACCTCCGTTGACCGAGGATAAATAGAGACGGGAACTACAGTCTTGCCAGCGAAAAGGCGAGATTGTTGAGCTGTAGATTGATTACTTTAAAATATTGACGAAGGATCATGTCTAAGGAAGATCTTGTTGTGTCAACCGATGAGTGGGATATTCTTTTTCTACTGCATGTGTGCTTCTCCATTCAGGATAGTTAAATTTTATATTTTCAAAATGAGAACTATGGCTTGAACTATCGAGAGGGGTGAAAATATTCTAACCAATCAGTATGTTTTTCTTTAGTATGTTTGTCCGTTTTCTTCTGGACTTCCATGTGCTATGTTAAAACAATAATGGCGATGTTGCCAAAGAGCTACAAATTACTGGACGTTCTCATATGTAGGATAATAATCATAGCACTTGAAAAACTGACCCCACATGTGCTTTCGATTATTTTTATCACCGGTCTGACTGTTTCATAAGAGCACTCTTTAATACAGAAAGGTAGACAACATATTTAAATGTTTAAACATTTTACCAGGTAAAGTTATATCAGACTGTAAAACAGCTTTATCATTGGGTAACCTTGGGGATGATGATTCAGCGTACATGTAATTATATCCCTCAACTGCACTTTCCGGTCCAGTCAGATCGGAAACTGTAGGGCCCTGCAATACATTAAAATACATGTAATGATATTTAATGTAAGAACAATTTCAAGGACTTGTACTCAAGGTACTGTCCGCCGGTAAAATTTGTGATATGATCATCAAGCTGTACATAATAAGAGACTATCAATGTAAGTTTCGTATGCATGCAAATCAAATGATAAAGTAGTATAACGGAATTCGCAAACTTGAACACCTGCTCCAACCCATATTGTAAATCGTCTTCGACATTACTATTGACAATTAATTACAATTTCATTATGTCAATTACTTTAAAAGAGCACACAATTACGATGATTTTAATTAACAAATTTGATTTACTAAAAATAAAACTTTTGGGAGCGTTTTTATTAAATAAACATGATTCCTGCTCATTCATGTGCCATGAATACCACTACGAGTTCAATTAGTAGAGCAGGGACTACCTACTCTCGGCTACTTAATAGTGTAAAGGGATTTGGGCTGCCTTAATCTAGTTTTCATTACTATATTATCAACATAGCCGGTATCACCAGAGGAGCAAAAACTGTTGACCATTCCGGAACACCTCAATTTCATTCTCGTTTTTCGGATAGGATTGTGTTGATCAATCTTAAGGTACTGTAAAGTGTTTTGTTGACTGCATGTTGTCGTCTTTTCGTTGGTTATTTTTTGTCATGTTGTTGTCTGTATTGTTCGACTTACTTTTGTTATTGCCTGCGTGGTTTATTCTCACTTTTTATGGGCGAATTATCGAGAATGGGGAAAACACATACAAAGTTATAAACAATGCTTGTACAAATATCATGTGTATAAAGAGCACATGTTGTTATGAGTTCAGCTTCACTCAGTACAGCGCCTTAATTGTCATTATTTATAAGAATAAGGCGTATTAAATTGACTTACGGCGTATTAAATTGACTTACGGCGTATTAAATTGACTTACGGCGTATTAAATTGACTTACGGCGTATTAAATTGACTTACGGCGTATTAAATTGACTTACGGCGTATTAAATTGACTTACGGCGTATTAAATTGACTTACGGCGTACATATTCCAGTCAAACTCGTCGTTGTCTACATTCTTCATAAAACATTTACTTCCCTTTTCAAATGTACATGCCAACGTTTCTGAAGCTATAGAAATAATAAATGTTTTAGTTGTGATCTTACAAGTTATGATCAAATATTTGAGAATGGATTGGGCTTCTCTGTTCAATTTATTCCCTCTTTTTTATTTAGATATTCTTTGATTTTTTTGTGAATTTAAGCTAACTGAAATTGTGTTTTATTGTTTGTATTATGTTATTTGTTTTCGAAAAGTCCCTTGAATAAAGGAGAGGATACCGCTTAGTATACTGTTAATAAGTACTTGCCCATAGTCATATTTAAGACGTTCTGATGTGTATTTCATTGTACATGCTTAGTACTGTCAAGTTGTTGTTACCCTATTATTGAATAGGTATGTGACTTTAATACAGTGATGTCATATCTAGATCTAAAAAAGTATTATGTGTATATATTCCCGTATCGTTATTTGGAATATTATCACTTATACCTCTGTCTTTCCTTTATTATAATTTTAGTAGATTACCAACGCTTCGAAAAGACATAAATCGATGCCTATTCAAAATAAATAATTTTATGTTATTTAAGGAATGACTGTAATATTTTTTCTGTCTATGAAGAAATAACATCACAAATGTGGTGCACACTGAATAACCCGCGTATCGGGTTATTTAAAAGTGTGCACCACATTTTTTTTAGGTTATTTCGAATAGACAGAAAATATATTACAGTCATTCCTTATAATTTAATTCTAAATTCCATTTTTAAGGAGTAAATTTTGAAAAAAAATCGTTGGTGACGTCACGGTCACATGACAAAATTATGTCTATGAGCTGATAGACAAAACACTTTCAACCAATCAGAAGACGTGTTACTTCCAAAATTAAATTTTAAAAAATTAAATAAATAAAAAATAAGCTTCAGTCATTTGATTGAAAGTAAATATTTTAATAACATTAATGGAAGGTCTTCTTCTTGCCATTCAGAGACCAACATACATTTAAAAAAGAAACGATCTATTATAATATGTTTGTTTTTAAAATACCTTTGGCTTGATCACAGTTCTGTCCTTCGAATCCTGGATCACATTCACAACGATATGCCTGATTTTCACAATCCTTACAAACTCCATATATGCATGGATCTGGAATGCATCCTGGAAAACATATGTATATTCCTTGCATAATATAAAGCAAAATTTTTAAAATAAATGACGGTAGATGATGTAAGACCGTATCCTTCACATAGATATAAGTAGTTTATCGATGTTCAGATCTCATAACTCGACGAAAAAAACAAATCGAGATAAGAACCATAATAGAGAATGTCCATCATGAATATAATTGACAATCCGCAACACGATGCGTTTGCTTATGAATATCAGTAGATCAAACACAAATCCATGTTGCTAAACATCCGGGTTTTATAGGATTGGATTTGCTTAGACTTTAGTATTTTATGTATCGTTTTTTTTAGTTTTGTTTGTCTCTTCGTCATTTTTCTTTTTTGCCATGGTTTGTCGGTTTATCTTATTTACTTTGATTGTCTCTTTTTGGTATTTTCCTCCTCATTTTAGAAAAGATGAAATACACAATGGAGTTATAAATAATCACAAGTTGGGAAATGACGGAAACACCACGGCTAAAAATAAAATGACTACAAAATAAACAAAGTTTAAGGAATGATTACACAGAAAAATATTTGTAAACATAGGTCCAAACAAATCACTAGGGGTGAACTTTTTTCTGCAGGAGTAAGCGATTCCTGTCCTTCTATTATCAGATGCTTTTTTTCTGATGCCAATAAAGAAAAATATGTAAAAAGTATAATATTGTATCGAATCAAGCTAGCGAGCACTTTAGAAAAAGAAACATAAGAACTACAATCATTTAATAGAAAAATGCATACAAATTTAATATTTTGAAATAAATTTGTGATGCCTTTAATTTCAAAGCACCCAACTAATGTTTAAAAGCTTCCACATCTCTGACTAGCTACGCTATTGTATAAGCAATGTAGTTGAAAACATAAACTAAAATTGAGCAAAACAACAAGAACATTTTTCAAGATGAGTTATTTTGTATTTGGCCATATTTTTCCTTCTTATTATCATTACACTTTACTATCAAACATTATGAATGAATACTTCGATTTATCTATAGTTGAAGGCCAGTATGAGTCACAAGAATAGTGTCTGTATACACAGCCTATCATACAGTAAACATAATACCATCGGTCCATTTAGTCGAAATTATTATCACAACATACACATTCACATATGATATGTAAATTTAAAGAAGACAATATGTGAATCTATAGATAATTTTGTTTGTGTTTGATAGTATTGTTGGGTTGCTTTTTAATTGTACCGCACATTCCGTTTATTTCGAAGTAATATTATACCATCATTAGTTGTTGTAGCTAGAAGAGAAAATCCTTTCTCTGGTGATTGTAGTTTTCCAAATTCACTGTCGAAAATTAGCAACATGAGATTCTTTTGACCCCAAGGAGAGGTAACCCACGAATCACCACTAGAATCACCGCAAACTCTGTCAAAATACAATATTATAGAAATCCTCATTTACCATTATTATTTAACATTAAATATTTTATCAACTTATATTGAAAATATTCATATATCTAATAATTCTGAACAACTACTGACAGTCATACGTATTAGTGCTTATATTAGTCTTTTGCACTTAGGAGCAGTAATAAAAACGGAAATCCAGATAACTACTTAATTGCCTATATATGTTTAACAAACAGCCCAATGCCTTATCTTCAATTCACTCAATCTTTCTGTGTAGTATTTAGTTGACTCATTTTGTTTTTTTCTCATGTTGTTTTTAAACTTATGTTTCTAATTTCCCCCTAGGTATCTGATCCCCCTTTTTTCTTATTCATTTAAATGTTATTCAAGTGGAAAATGATTTAATTAAATTATCAGCGGCTCGATTTTTTAAGAAAAAAAAACAGTTTTAACACCTCCCTTTGCAGATTGAGAACAAATGTCATAGATAGGTAAACCAAATCAATATTTTGCTTCTAGCTATAGGATTTTCTCGAGGAAATTTTGACCGTTTTTTTTTTGGCAAAATTCCTGCGTGAATGTAAAGCAAAATTATTTTGTTTTCTAACTATATGAACCTAAACCTTATTTTGAGTTACATACCTTATCCCTGTCTGCCCAACTAGATTGTATCTTACTTGTAACCAATGATAACATCTGTCATCTTCTGCGTCATATGGAAGATGGAATACGTCTGCCTCAAGTCGCACATGAAAACTAGATGGTGCCTATGTGATTTTACAATAAGATTGTAGTCAGAAAAAGTAATAGTTAATGTATAAAAGTCAAAGTTGCTTACCTAGATTTATTTAAAACTCTAGTGCAAAGTCGAGAAAATAAAAACAAAAAATGTACAATCGAAAGAAGAATGTGTCTGACAAAACAATTAAATTAAAAATATCGAGAAGCAAACATTTTATTTGGTTTTAATTGCAAGAAGCTCTTTTTTAAAACTATCTGCAAAATTGTTGTGCAATACCTCTGACATTTAATCGTAAAAGTAATAATTATTAAATAGTGTTATATAAATAATATGTTGAGAGATTCTATTTAGCAACTTATATAAAATATTCTTTCCTACTTCTATAACATACCCTTAAAAGCCACGCACACTCCATACCAACGTCATACGTATTTGGAAAATTTGGTGACCTTATAACTGCCTTTTCCCCTGGGATAAGATCGATGATTCCACCACAAACTGAAATTAAAATAAGGACATATCAGCGGGAAATTAGCTCTCGATTTCTACCTGGATTTCTGTGCAAATGGAATATTCATTTTCACATGTTATTAGTATGGCTTATTTATTTCGAGAACATTTATTTTCAATCTTGTACGAGCATCACTGATGAGTCTTGTGTACACAAAACAAGCGCCTGTCGCACAAAATTTTAATCCTGGTATTTATAATGAGTTTTTTGTACACAAGTATTTTATGCATTGTCCTACAGTGCATTGGGAAGAATATTATACATTTATTTCCCGTGCCTGAGGGAGATATGAAGATTTGTTTACCCAAGTAAATTCATATTTCCCGAGTGCATCGCCCGAAGGAAATATGATTTTTCGAGGGTTAAAAGTTTTCATATTTCCATAAGCCAAGAGAAATGAATGTCTTTTTCCACTGCCTATACTTTGTTTACTACTAAATACCTAAACATAAAACATTTATTTACATACACTTTTTCTTTAACGCTTGTTTTCATAACTAAACAAACTTTAACATTGATAAACAGTACCGATCAAAAGATAATTATTTTGTTTTGATTTTACGTCTGAAATTATTTTGAACACGATAGTTACTTTACTCTCGCAATTCAAAATGTAATTTACATTTACATTTACCGCGCGTAACGTCTCACGAGGAAGTCCCGATTTTCAGTGGGAATGTGAAGTTTTGTTCAATGTAACGTGGAATGGTATCAACCAATCAAATTTTGATTAAGCTATCAAATTTAACCTACAGTGGAATAATAATTTTCATTCTGTCTAGGGCAAAGTAATTTATTTCCAGTAATAACCAAGCCAGAATATTAATTTCCAAAATTGTGCTCACAGATATGAGCCATACTGGGTCAGTAGTAGATTTATGCAAATGCAAATACATGATAGTAATTCAGTGCGCAAAACACGTGTTTCTGGTATAGCTTTTACCAGTATAACAATAATTAGATGTGGAAGATTGTCAATGAGCAAACTATTCACCAGAGACCAAATAAGGTGAATGTAAGCAAATACGGGCCACAGTACGGCATTCAACTATAAGATAAACCCATAACTTATTGTAGGTTTGTTAAATGAACTAATCACGAATTTCAATTTGATTTTGTCTAACCAATTTAAAATGCATTACGATTTTTTAACATTATTATGTCCCCTTTGTGTATATTCTGATAGTTTAAATGATTTACATTATGTGTTAACGTTGAAATCCGTATGATGCCATTAAATGCATTTACTTTCTCGTGTACAATCATCTATGGTACACTAAAAATAGAATAGTCCTTTTTTTGTGTATTTGTAAACAAAGGGAAAAAGAATTTAGTTCTTTTTTAAAATATGTATTTGGTGAAATCTTCAATTTAATCTTCTATAATGAAAATATTTAGTTAAAGGTCGGATATTTATAAGTATTGCTAAATGATATTATCGAGTTAATTGTATTAGCAATACATGTACTTCATCCTAAAAAACATTTACCTCCGCTGTTGATAACAGAATCACAATTGTCGCCAGTCAAACCGTAAGGACAATGGCATTTACATTCAAAGTTTATAAAACCACCATTTTTGCATTCGGGCGGATTCAAGCAATTTTCTGAAAATAATAAAAATTAAAAAAAATAAACGATATAATATTTGTTTAGTTTTCGAAGTTATTTATTAATGATTCCCTATTTACATTGAACACACTGTTATTAATTGTGGAATGATAAAATTTAGATACTGTATAAACTCCTAAACAATACGAAACAAAATGTTTTCCTCGTTCTTGTTCAAGTCTTGAATATGCTTGTTACATTGGTTGCCGGGAATAAACAGAGAAGGATAAAAGTTAATGAACAAATCAATCGTTGTTTATCGCCCCTTCATTACCGATGCCATAAGTGATGCATGAACGGAAGGGATTGTGCTTGATTTTCATATGATAAAGACATAATTATTCAATCAGTTTAATTTAGGTCTGGAGCTGGCATGTCAGTAACTGCTAGTAATCCTTTGTTATTTTATGTATCATTGGCATTTTACTTAGTTTCTTGTGTTACCTTTTCTGATATCAGACTCGGACTTCTTTTAAACTGAGTTTTACTGCGCGTATTGCTATGTGTTTGTTTTTTCTACATTGGCTAGAGGTATAGAGGGGGGGTTGAGATCTCACAAAACATGTTTAACCCCGCCGCATTTTTGCGCCTGTCCCAAGTCAGGAGCCTCTGGCCTTTGTTAGTCTTGTTTATATTTTGATTTAAGTTGATTTATATGTTTTGGAGTTTAGTACGACGATCATTATCACTAAACTAGTACACATTGTTTATTAGGGGCCAGCTGAAGCACGCCTCCGGGTGCGGGATTTTCTCGCTGTGTTGAAGACCCATTGGTGGCCTTGGGCTGTTTTCTGCTCTTTGGTCGGGTTGCTGTCTCTTTGACACATTCACTATTTCCATTTTCAATTTTATTGATTATACTGTGAATATGTGTATCTGGTGCGAGAGAAGCAAAATCTAAACCTCGGATATTTTTTGTATATGTATATATATTTGAAACATCCAAATGTGTTTGCGGGTAGTGTAGCTCCTTTCGTGTAATCTACCTGGGCTTTGTATTTTAAGTTGTTGTTAAACGCCACTTTCAGCGATCTTCAACATGACTGTCAGTTTGAATTGTAGGAGGAAGTCTGAGTACCACCGAACTTCGGTTTTGAATTTAAGAATCATATTGAAATGTACATTTTAATATTTTGTGTTTAAGATTATTGAAATGTAGGTTGATCAAATACTTGATGGTAATAAATTAGGTTTCCCAGAAACAAAATAATTGTGAACATCAAATCAAGGTAATGGTATTTAAATGCAACATAATGCAAATCAAAAGGCATTTGTTTTTGCTTAAATAGCTTTAGAATTAGCGGATACGTGCTTTAGTTTTCGTTTGATGTTATGTATGGATTTTTAAAATCAAAGTGCAATGTAAGATTTTCTCATCACTTGGTGACGGTCTTCTGTCGTCTGTCGTCCGTCGTCGTCCGTTATGTTTTTCAAAATTTTTCCCCTCTGAAACTACTGTATCAAATTTAACCAAACTTGGCCACAATCATCATTGGGGTATCTAGTTTTAAAATTAGTTCGATGACCCATCCTGCTAAAAAACATGACCGACATGGTTATAATAGAACATAGGGGTTAAATGCAAGTTTTGTCTATTATCTTCAAAACTGCTATAGATGGAGAAAATCTGACTGAAGCAGAAATGTTTAAAATGTTGCGTTATGCCTACTGAGCATTACATCAAACTGTCAGATGATTTCTTATATGAGTTATTGCCCTTAAATGACGAATTCTACCATTTTTTTTTTCATTTTTGCTTTTTATTTTGACACCATAATGTATAGAGAGAAACTTTAAATAGCAAAGCTGACCAACAAGACAAGATTCCAAATAAATCAAATGTTGCTAAAATTATTAATAGACTCTTTATACGAGTGGTTGTCCTTTCGGGCAAAAAATAAAGAAGATAGAGAGACACTGTAAACAGAAAAAAAAATATAAGTAATACAAGATCAACAAACAGAGATTTGTTTGATGAATTCTATTCTAGACTACAATGTTGGAGTGTTTTGGAGAGTGTTCATTGTTGAAAATGCTCATATACCTAGGTCAGCGACTCTCTTTAGAGCCTATGTTAATTTATCATGGAATTTGGTATTTTCTTTTATACATTTTTCTTCAATTTCGTGTTTGATTTTCTTTCTATTATAAAGCAAACAATAAAATCGTATCGTAACAATAACAGATTACATGTTTAACAAAAGTGGAAATCGTGTTTTGGCTGATCATATAACTGTAAATAACAGTAAATATTATAATGTGTTATGAATGCTCTAGAAATGTAAGATCGATACTTACCTGTACATTTATATGCGTCTGTAATGTCAGCAATATCGTAAAAGGAAAATCCAGATCCATATGATGCTAGGAATCCTAAATCAGGTTGTAATGCCTCGAATCCTTTCTGCAATAATTAGACAGAGAGCTGACATAAAATACAAAATAAAATGTGTATTGTACTATATACATAATTCAGGAGTACACAAAGGAATTTTTCATGGAAGGTGCAAACTGAAGTGAATGTAAGGGTATACGAAATCCAATCTACCTTTGTTTCTGTTTCAAAAACTAAAATTTGTGAAATCTAAGGACATTGTTGTTCTTACTGTACAATTTGAACTCCTTGACTCGTCAATAAAGAGTATCAATTTACTTTAACGTTGAATTAAATATTTTGACTGTTTATAAACGGTCATTTATCAAAATTTATTGTTAAAATACTTTCGAGAATAACAATTAGACTTGGTCAGCGTCGGTTCTTTTGTAGAGTGAGATAACAACATCGAATTGTTCCCATCATATCAGGCAAGTCGTGTACACTATCTTATACAGACACTAATAGAAAATTATTATTATGTAAGGCTATTTATACACTTTTATTGTGGTGTAATACCACCATTGTTTTCTCCAATTAGTCTTTGTTAAATTGGCAATGTTCAAAAAAATAGTGCAGGATTTATCTTTGTTTCAATTAAAGAAACACTTGGCATGAGTAAAGTTTTATCCTATTCATTACTACAGTGAAAATTTCACATAACATTTCATTGCAGATAAGATAATAACCATCACTGGAAAGAAACCAATCATATTTTCACCCCTTTTTTCCTGTTAAAAAGCTTTAGTAACCATGTCATCCCAAGTTTCCAAAGTATTTCATAGAAACACCAAATAAAAAAAAAAATTATGCTTTGAAACATCCAAGTTATTTGTTTATGACTCAGAAATTATTTTTTGCAATGAAATGCAGGGTTAATTTCCTACAACTGTCAAATTCAAAAGAATATTTTTTCGACCCTTTTTCGTATGAAACCGGATGTGACGTACTGTGATTTGGTGGTATTACACCTTGTGCTTTTATACATCCAATAAGTAGTTATTTATTCCAAAGGTATTAATACATCCTAAATCCTATTTATACACCCTAAAATATATTTATTAAAATATTAACAGAAAAACGCATGAATTTTTTTTAAATTAAGCGTTGTTTTCATTTTTTTTATAAACTATTCGAAAAAAGACTCGAGATCTAATTATGTATACAGGAAGGGTAACATGCCTCCTGTTGACTGTCAAGCGTATTTGTTGACGGCTACTCTTGATACACGTGTCGTGTGTGCTATAATCTAGGTCCTTCAATTATCTTTACAAAAATGCTTTATTGTTTTATAACCAGTTTAAATAACTTACTTTTAATGAGTAGTGTTCTATTGATTCATAATCATATGGATTTAAATCTCTCGTGTTGAATTTTCCATAATTACCATCACCTGGTTCTACTCCAATTTGACTGTAATCTATAAAAACATGGTCATCTCTATCTGTTCTGCTCTGTTCGTGCCATTGTCCTAGAGCATGTAACATTTCATGCAAAGCAGTTCCAAGCTAAACGAATTATATACATATATGACAATTCAGGCCAATTTTAACACTGCATGTAGAAGATGAATGCTAGTCTTAGATGGTCATTTTAATTTTAGTCTCGTCTCAAAAGTATAAAATTAGAAAATAAAGGTCTTGTTTAAGTTTAAGATACATTATTATACATTTTTTTATTGTAAGTTCATTAATGTTTAGACATTTCGCTTGCAATCAATCAAGTATTGTTCGTCAACTTTAAAGACAATTCAGTTGATTTGTACGGGTAAATAACAACAACTGAACAATACAAAAATAGACTGAACAGATCTTTAGCATAAGATGCAAGAGATGTGTCGGAAAGGTACTGATGATAAATTAAAACCATTGACCGAAAACTGAGCATAACTTAGTTCGAATTACATTACACATTTTTGTTAAATATAGAAACCAATAGTTTATCGATGTTCAACTCTCGTTCATCGATTAAAAAAACAAAGAAACAAACAATAACTGAAAGTATCACATAAACTAAAAAAAAGAGCGAGTCAACGGTAGGGCCGACATGATAGACGACTTCTGCTAGGAATTCATCACTCCCATGCGAATCCACTAGTCATAATTTCACAATTGTGAATACGACACATTAGGTAGATTACAGATTCGACGACTATTCTAGAATTTATAAATCAAATACACAAAAACATGTCACAAGTGAGTTCAGAGACAGATATTTCGTATCGGTGAACCAATTCGTAATGGTGACCGCAAATCTTATATAATGTCTATTTCAGCCGTTCTCCTTCAAAACTTTGTTGGAGCAGTTATGTGAAAAGTAAAATTACAAAAATACTGAACTCCGAGGAAAATTCTAAAAAGAAAGTCCCTAATCAAATGGCAAAATCAAAAGCTCAAACACATCAAACGAATAGATAACAACTGTCATATTCCTGACTTGGTACAGACATTTTCTTATGTAGAAAATGGTGAAAGAGCACTACCCTGCTAATGAAATCTGTTAAGTGTGAACAATGTTATCGCCATACTATTGGAGAAAAGGATATGTCACAAAGAGGAAGAAGTTTTAAAGAAGGGATAAATCATATGCAAAAGAAAAACTGTGCTTCAAATAAAAATTGCCTGGAACAGACATCGTCGAGATTAGTTTTTCGTTTTATGAACAACATATTTATTACGTGTATTTCAACAGATAATCGAAATTCCTATGGAAATGAACATAGACCCTTTTCTCACCGACTTGTTCCATCGTTCATATAGAGCAAACTTCATGCAAGAGCTTCTCATGAACAATGAATAGAAGCTAGAAATATCCTTTAATCTCACCTTCCGCTATATAGATGATGTCCTCTCACTAAATAATCAAACGTTTAGTGACAATTTTCAACGTATCTATCCCACCAAACGTGAGAAAAAGTATGCTTCATATCTAAACTAACATCTAAAAATTGACAATGATCGATTGGGAAGGAAATTTTACAACGCAAGAGTTGATGATTTCAGATCTCCAATTGTGTACATTTCAGCTCCTGCATATGGACTATGTAAATCTTATTTGATACGATATTCCTGAGATTGAGTTTCCGGTCTTAATTCCTTGATAGAAGGTTACTGCTAAAAAGGAAGCTATTGGCCCAAGGGTCTTGGTGGAAAGTTGTAAAGGAAAAGTCGCAACTTCAACTGTTTTATGAACGCCATCATGAGTTTTTTTACCATTTTGGAGTATTTGTCGCAGATGATAATGTCCCGATAGATGTTGCCTAATAATTCCCCAGGTTTAGACAACATCTATTGAGACTTATCACTACGTATGTAAATACCATGAACAAAATGACGTTTGCGTCGTGTGGATCAAGATATTTCTACCCTTCTGGAACACATGCGATAACCCCGGATTTGGTCTGGTTAGTGTTGCTCAGTCTCAAAATTTCTATGTATTTTGTAGACAAGTGATTGTCTTTTTGTCGTTTTCGTCTTTTCACCATGTATTATGTATTTTTATTGTTTTATTTAGAATTTTCCGCCATTTTTTAAATTTATCTATTGTTCGGTCATTTTAGACCTGTTTAGATCGAAATGGTCTTTTCAGTTTAACATTGTTCTTCTAGCTACCTTTTTATGTTCATACATGCTCTTTATTTAGAACATCTTATTCCAGTCACTAAATGTTGTGCTTCCATGAATCTTAATATACGGCAACGCATTATAACATTTAAAATACTGTTAAGTCTAAAATGTCTCCTTTGCATTTGTGGTTCGTGATCAAAGTCATTACCTTTTGATTTTCACTGGTGCTACAAACATAGTCCCTGTATTTGATAGTGTATTTTTCTAATTTTTTTTTTAATTCATCTTCCTAGTCTTAATTTTATGTTTCTGATAAAGTTAGTCCAAACAAAGGTTCTGGACGCACCAACTTTATAAAGGAGGTTTATATTTTCTAGCACTGGGTCGTTTCATCATCACAGTTATTGGATTTTTAGGTCCTCAATGCTCATCAACTTCGTATTCTATTTAGTTTTTTTAATTTTTAGATTCGAGCTTAACTAATTAGTCTTCTGTAGGCGAGACGCGCGTCCTGCGTACACAATTTTAATTCTGGTATTTATGATGAGTTTTTTAGCAGTGCTTCGGTATTGATATGATTATAATGTACTAGTATCTTGCTTATTTCTTCGTTGATATATTTTGAAATTAGTAAGAAACTAATATAACAACTCTCTCCAGCAGAGTTGATATGAAATGGAGTTGGATACCCTTTTCGTCAATTAGATTCTCAAGTAATGAAGTACTTATACATCCTTGGCTTTCAACTGTTTGGGTTTTATCTTTCCTGATGAAGTTAAATCCAGAAAAGCCGACCGGACTCGCCAAATTTTTGAAGTTTTATTTTGATTGTCTTTGTCCTTTTTAATTTGATTTATTGATTAAACCTTGTGAATTTGAGTGACAATGTATAGCTGCGTCCATCGAAAAAATAAATTGGCCTGAATGATTTTGAAAACAGTAAAACAATAAATTACGAAAATTATAAGGGAGGGACTCGGAAAATATATGACAAACAAATGCATTACATACCCCTAGACAACCAGGAGCCTTGAGACTTAAATTTTGTTCCCCATTACTACTTCTACCAACATGCGACCAACATCCGCTACAAGTAGAAAAACTTATCATTGTGATCCTTGTTGCGTACTATGTATACAATGTTAAAGATGATCTAAAAAGTAAAATAACAAAAATACAGAACTCTTAGGAAAGTTCAAAACAGAAAGTTCCTTATCAAATGTCAAAATCAAAAGCTCAAACACATCAAACGAATGGAAAAAAAACTGTCATACTGACTTGGTACAGGCATTTCTTATGTCGAAAAGGATGGATTAAACCTGGTTTAAGTTTTGCTTAATCGATTAATGACTATTGAACAGCGGTATACTACTGCTGCCTTTTATCTATAGCTAGCTAAAGCATATAAAAAACCAGGAAACTGTATGGTGTTAATACATGAATAAAAAACTGTGCCATGTCTTTCAACATTGTTAAAGATGTTCAAAGTGCAGCGTTATATAGATATATAGATTGAGACTTGATTCTTTAAAAACTAAGTATATATTAACTGGAAAACAAAAATATGCATGTATCAACTTCGTACGGATTTCATGAAAAAAAATAACTAAATATTTGAATGACTTCGTTTATCATGGAATATATCTTTGTCTTAATGTGTCGTCCCCGAAAGTATCACAAGCCCGGTACTCAACACGTCTGTTCTAATGATGTATATTATTAATGCGGTCACTTGTTGTTGTAATTCGTTTTCCTCATAAAATGTTAAAATCATTCGACGCACTTAATTGATTTTTCCCATGCATAGATTGCTTTGACTAGATTCTTCACATATTTGAAAGTTATTGGTTTTCAGTGCTATTCTACTACGTATGTGATTTTTACTTCATATGTTATGATTCGAGTTCACCTAATTAGTTTGATAAAGACAAAATTACCGTTTTGCGTACTATATTATAAGACTGGTATCGCTGCAGAGCTTTTATTATGATTAAACAGCTAACATTATTTCAATTAACATACAAAACATTCATGCTCCTTTTGTTAAACCTGTTGTATAGGAATATTTAATGGTATGTGAATAACGCTACTAAAAAAAAGTTGTATATTATGGTATAAGCTATCCATTGAAACTTGATGCATCTGATGTTGAAAGAGAAAAGGCATCTACAATTAATATCAGGTTATTGTAAGAGATTTTAGTTCAATCTATGTTCAATCTATGTTCGTGTAGATAAGACATATATTTGTCGGTAAATAGAAATAGAGAGATTGTTTAACTTTTCAAGGTTAAGACCAACTTTTCCCTGAACATCCCACAATAAAAGATAAATGTACATCTACTATAGCCCAACTTTTAAAACTACAGTTGCAAATAGTTGTATCGATATATATAAATACCATTATGCTGTAGGTAATACCTGTCGTATATTCATGACAAAAAAAGCACAATCATGACATATTAAAACAAAATAATGTGTCCATTAAATACATGAACGTTCAAACATTTCGATCAAAACAACTTAAGTCTGTAAAAAGTTTGCAAATAATCCTTTTCATTTTTTTGAGTCTTTTATTGATGTAAACAAATCTGTGTATGAGAAAGTTATGAAGACCCTAGACCAACATGCTCAACGCAAGAATAACGAATACACAACGATAGAAATGATAGAAGACAAATAACAATAGTGCTCGATGAAACAGGCTGATTTTAGTATATGATAATCCTAATTTGTGTGCTCAAAACAGTTCCATTTGTCATGTGCCTTAAACAAAATTACCTGCCGCTAAAAAATCTAACGTATGATTGATGTCCAAGCTCTGTTTCTAAAGTAGTTGTGTGTGGTTTCCACTGAATACATGTCAATTTAGCGAAAACTTGTATAGCCTGGTTAATTACATTCCTTGCCTCTTGAGTATCTGGAATAAGACCATTTACAAGGATATTGTTAAACGTTGCTGTTTTTACCTTATAAACATTCAAAATCACTGTTAGACTTGTAGGATAAATCCAGTGTTTGTAAGTGACACCGGATATTGGTACTAGCTGAAGCGGAATAAGTAGTAAAATTCAAGCTGCCGTACACTTTAATATATAAGTACACTATCAAACCTCTTTCTTTGTTATTTACATTAAAAAGTATAACAAAAATACCGAACTCCATGGTAAATTCAAAATAGGGGAAATCCTTAAAACTGACAAAATCAAACGTTATCAAATAAAGGAATGAGTGAAAAACATTTTTCATATTCCTGACTTGGTACAGGCATTTTCTGGGGAAAGTTTTCAAGATAATTTCTGACAATTTATGAAAAGTATGGTCTTGTGTATTTAAAGTTGGTGATAATTAAATAATAGGAAGAACTATCCAATCTTTAGAAGCATTAAAACGGCTACTTTTCTTGGTCTGGAGAAATCCGTAACTCTTTCTTTGGAGAACAAGTCAGTTCCCAACAAATTATTTTACAAATCTTTAGGCACGTGAAATAATTCTTAACTGTGATTACAAAATTCAACACCTCTCTCAGCTTCAGCTAGTACCAATACCTGGTGTCGTTCTCATACGGTGATATCACAAACGTTAGGAATTATTTTAAGATTTATACTTATGTATGAAAAACTCCATAACTGAGTCAATAGGCTAAGTGAGTATACCCTTGGCTTCTATGCATGTGTGAACAATCATAAGAATGAACATTGGTTATGATTTTAGCTATATATTAACTCGTAATACCAATTTCGGTGCACAACACACGTGTTTTTGAAATAATCTTTGAAAATTTGTGAAGCTAAATGAATACGCCGTTTGAGCGCATTGCAAAAAAAATCAGCCATCTAATCCGAAAGACAACTTTGCCTTAGGTGTTAGTTACCTTAGTTTTAATCAAGTTACGTAATTTATAACCTTGAAATTCACTACTAAATACTAAGCACTACATTTATATCATTTACATGTTTTTCGTGTTTCTTATATGATGAATAATGATAGGCATTATACTAAGCAAGGGAATGTTCAGATTAACGCACCTAGACTTGAATCTATTTCATAGGGTACTGTTTTCTTAGTCCACAGACGACCTGTTGTAAAACCTCTTTTTGAAATACCACCACTATTTATGTCGTTTTCATTTGACTGAAATTAAAAAAAATGTGTTTCTTATAACTTTATTCTTTTTAAATAAATTTTAACAGTATATGTATATTTATTTATGCATTGTATATACATGGATCTAACTGTTTGATGCCTTTGATTATCAAATTAAAATACATTTTACAAATAATCTTAAGACAATAGTATGTATGCATTTCAACTAACATGTTACATTGACGTAATATATAAAAAGCCAGATATGGTATGACTGCCAATGAAATGACTTTCTAATGGAAACCATAAGCCAAGGGTGAAAACAACTATTGGTCATCGTATGGTCTTCAAAATTGAGCAAAACACAGACCGTATGGAAAGGTATCAATTGTGCCTTCGTGAAAATAGGGAATTTTCTAAACAATTAAAGGACAATAGCATGTATGCGATACCAATAACATTTTTCTTATTACTTTATAGAACAGCCCCGATTTTTCCTGATATTCAGCATTGAAACCATGTAATTGATTGTTTATACAAGCAATTAAATGATTAGGTTAAGTGCTTCTCTCACAGTTGGTGTCCACTGATGTTATCAAATAAACACAGATGGTTAGCTGGTCAAGATTATTTAATTTCAATATTACCTACACTAAATACATTATATATTCTTATCTACAAAATATTCTCTTAGACAAGGTGCTTTTATTTTTGTTTCTTCTCATTTTTGCAATGTTTTCATAATTTGGAAATGCTATGACAAAAATTTTAGATTTGCTCATTTAGCAAATTTTATATGTTTTAATAAAACGTGTCAATGTAATTATATTAAAATCAATCGGGTCCAGGACCAATCCAGTGTATCTTATTATAACCCTTTGTATTTAATTCCATTTTTTGATGTGCATATATTTAGAGCTGGCATTTTTGGTGTAGGATAAATATTTATTGTTATGGAATACATTTTTCAGTATTTATCTTAATTTTTTTTTAGAATTTCCGACTTGCATGCTTGTAGTTTAAATATTGTGTGTGTATTTTTAGACTAGAAATCCAAATCTGGTCTGTATTTCGGTCTAGTAGAATTGGAACTATCCTCATCAGGTATCCCCAGCCTATATGTTTCCTTTCTTGTTATATTTAGAATGGTTCGAATTTGATTTCACTTTTGGGGATACTCGAATAACTATATTAAAATCAATTGGGTCCAGGACCAATCCATATATAAACTGTATATATATTCAGCATTTTTTCAGTATATAAGGTTCAAACATTACCTACTTCTATTCATATGCAAATGAGTGTGGACCCTCCCCCTTATTTTCCACTGAATATAGGGGCAATATGTATATAAAACACTTTTTTGTTACTAGTATTTCGCATTGAAAAGAGTGAGATCAAATGCTTAGAATAAGAGAAAATAAGTTGAAATATGAAATGAAAATTAAAAACAAAAATAATAAACAGCTGCGCCATGAACGCATGATACGCCTATCGCGTTTTCAAAGAATAAAGTTTAATATAAACTTCTAAATGTCATATTAGAAATTTATGAAAAAGTAAAAGGAGGTTATCCTAAAAGATATAAACCAGTCATTAAAGTTTAATGAAAACTGCTCAAAGCACTTTAAAGATATTGTCCGAAAACTGGAAAATCACCCCCTTTTTTTTAATAAAATCCCATAACTGGGTAATGTAAAATGTAAAATCAATAAAAAATTGAAAGGGAGCTACGTCAACAGATATAACCAATTCACCAAAGCTTCATGAGAACTGCTAAAAGCATTTTTGAGTTATTGTCCGAAAACTTGAAAATCCCCTTATTTTAATGAATAAAACCCCATAACTCGGAAACGATAAGTCTGAAATTTATAAAAATCAAAAGTGAGCTCATGTCAACAGTTATAAACATTTCACCAAAGTTTCTTGCAAATTGGTGAAAGCATTTTTGAGTAACTGTCCGAAAATAGGCATATCACTTTTTTTATGAATAAAACCCCATAACTCGGAAATGTAAAATCTAAAATTTATTAAAAAGACAAAATGGAGCTCACGTCAATAGATATAAACAATTTACCAAAGTTTTCATGCAAATTGGTGAAAGCGTTTTTGAGTTCATATTCAACATGTTGACGACAGACGGACAGACAGACGGACGGCCAGACGGACGGACGGATGGACTAACGGTATACCATAATACCTCTCATAAACGGGCGTATAAAAAGGAGGGTTCTTTTTCCAAATTGTCTTTGCCTAATGAATATTCTATTAAGAATTTCTTTTAAATATTTAGGAAATTTCCTTTTATCATTAAATGACATTTTATCAAAATAAATGTGAAAATTACAAAGAATATTCATTTCTAATCTTCAAAATGACAACAGATTATGGATCTATTCTAAATTTTAAAAAAATGGAAAATTAATAAAAAAAAAATCATAACTTTATATTACATTCCTTTAACTGTATCTGAACATGATTAATAAAAAAAACACGGACTAGATTTTCAAAATCTTATGAAGAATATTTATATTTATATTTCAAGTAAAGACAGAAAATGCCAAAATGTTGACTTTCTTATCAGATAACCTATGTGTAACATCTGCGGTCAGTTTATTGGGAAGAGTGATATATAAATTACAAGGACTTCAAACTGTGAAGCTAATCAGTTGTGAAATTTGAGATTCCCTCAAATCTGAGGGCATTCTTCGGGCTGTACTATAAAGTATTATGGTCTGATTGCTAATAATCCAACAAAACACAGATGACCAATAGATGAGGATGGTAAAATCATAGGTCATCGTTAGGCTTTCAACATGAACAAAAAACATAGCGGAAAGTAGGCTATTGGAAAATGGCCATTGTTATATTATAGTTCGTTTCTGTGTGTATTACATTTTAATGTTGTGTTTTTGTTGTGTCGTTGTTCTCCTCTTATATTTGATGCGTTTCCCTCAGTTTTAGATTGTAACCCGGATTTGTTTTTATCTCTATCGATTTATGAGTTTCGAACAGCGGTATACTATTGTTGCCTTTCTTTATCTATGATTGGCCTTACCATGACAAAACTAGATACAATTTAAAAGAGAAAAAACAACGGCTTGATTTATGATAAAAACAAATAAAAAACAGAGCAACCAACAACAACTACTGATTTATAGGAACTTAGTTTTGGATAGGCACATTATTAAAAAGATGAAATAATTAAACATTATTGTGAGCACTCAATCCTCAAACGTGAGACACTGCAGTAGCAGCACTCCTTCAGAAGAAAATGTAAAACTTAAATGGTAATTGATCTATCAGATCAGCACTAAGAACACAAATACCCTATGAAAAATGTACACATATTCATAAAAAGTATCCATATAGCTTACATTTTCAGACTCCATGTTTAGCTGTACTTTCTGAGCATGGGTTAATATATGCCTGTCCAAAGCCTCTGCTTTGACATGTTTACTTTCCTCTGGATGGATATGATTTGGCTGCAAAAAAAGAATGAAACAATATTGTCATAAACTAAAACCTGGAAAGATTATTACTCGAAATGAAATTGTAGTGCAATATATCTTAAAACAATGTATTTTAAAGCTCTCTCTTGTCTATCAGTTAAATATCAGAATAGCAATACTTGGACTATATTGTATGTGTTGCTTGTAAAAAAAGACTACTCCAGTGAAGATAAATTATTAAATTTCATATTTTGCTGTAGCTTTTGTAAATGTGCTGTGACAACAAAATAACGAATCCCATGACACTTTTTTCTTAAATCTAAATTCTAACTGAATGAAGAGCAAAACATTTTTAAGTTCAGTTTTACTATGGAAGATGCTATCAGATAAAAAAAATTATTTAAAACATAGAATAATTTCACAAAACCTTTTGACCTTTTGATTTTCTCCTAATAAATAGATATACATGTCTGCACTCATTGGATACAACTTATACATCATTCAATTTAAGTATTACAGAGAAACTAATGGGACTTGAAAGTTGGATTTTTGTTCGCATACCTTGTGGGGGTATGACAGTTTTAAATGAAAATATTTGCGTTTTACTCATGGTTCTTATTCAAAGGTTAAAGACTAAAGATAACTGTTAGTCGTACCTTGAACTTCTTGTGATCCTTTAGAACCTGGAAGCTCTCGATGATTTCCATTTTTTTCGAGTCTGGATCAACATACTGAAACGCATATTAATGTCAATGATTTAACTGATACAGAATCAAACTATATAATATTATATTATATATATTATATTAGAACGAATTATGCAATATGAATTAGATATCTCCGAAACGTACAATTCCATGTAAGTTTCCATTTACTAATCAAGTAGATATTCAACAGATTTCAACATGCTGTTATTAGCTTTCTATAACTATTTATCATAACAACATGGTTTTTAATGTGTACCTGTTCTTCTATGGCTTTTAAATTTTCCTCTGAATCTTCTGGTTTGTCTTTCTTAAATGCTACTGGTATCTGCCAAAATAATCCATAGATAATGAGTAAAATCGTTATGACGCTTCAATATCTTTTTTTGTTTTTAGCAAACAATTAATGCATGACCTTGTAACGTTAAATTTAATACACTTTATTTGTTTTATTTGTTTGATTTACATCTAAGAGCAGGCTAAATGATTTTAGCTTATGAAAATAAAAGCGATCTTGACACTGTTTCCATAAAAACGAATTCACTCGACATGGTTATAAAAAGAGGCAAAAGAGTTAAACAAGAAGGTAACAAGGAAGCAATCAAAAACCATTAGCGGACGAAGAAAATCGGACATACCATTCCAAGGAAATAAGAGAAAAACACGTCCACAAAACACTTCATGTAATACTAAAGTTTGAGTAACACAAAAACCGCCAAAAACCAGTTATGAACTTATCAAACAAATCATATCAGGGCGTTCGTAAAACTTTCGATTGGCAGATTTTAGATTTACAACTTAGAACAAACTTGTTGTTAAAGTAACATTAAAAGCTAAGCCTATCAGTTTAGGCCACAGACATGAAAGGAAACCAAATAAACGAAGACAAAACTACTTCAATCAGAATGTTAATTACCTCTATCAATACCTTTGGGAACTAAATAATATCAAATCTGACTACTGTATAATGATAAAAGTGATTACACTATTTATATTCATGGTTGTTGCTTTTCAAATCAAACTTGTTTAAAAACAAAATGATTTCAAATGATGTAAAAAATCATCGATTCAAAGGAAAAGTTCAACTGCATATTTTGCCAATCGACTGGAATTTTATTTAGTTACGTATGCGTTCTTTGAAGAAATTTCACTAATTATATACTTCTTAAAATAATCAATAATTGCTTTTACTTCCACCATTTTTACGTTGCTACATGAAAACTATTTTGAAGCTGGTTGATATTAGAATCTTATACAGCACGGACTAATTTGAATAAAGGAAAAGTAACTATATAAGAATCAAAGATGTATCATATGTACAAACGATGTTATATTGATGGGACTAGCAAGTGCTCCTTACAACCTCTGTCGAAACTATTAACATCAATTTTATCAGCACTCAAAACCGGGCTTCAGAGTTACTGTTAAAATTATTTACTCAAGAAGCGATGTAAATCAGATGTGGATGTTTAAAAATTCGAATGATCTGTACATCACTCTTATCAGCGATCAAATCCAGACTTTATAGTTATTGTGAAACTACATACTCTAGGAGCGGTGTGAACCAGATTTGGATACCAAAAAAATCGAAAGATCTGTAAAAGTGCAATCTTAGTCTCTTTTCTCTTGCAAAATTATAAAACAATATTTGACGTCTCTACCTTTTTCACTAGTATTTCCCAATTTAAAAGGTTTGTGTTGCTCAGTCTTAAGTTTTCTAGTATTTATCTGTATATGTGTCATGAATACATATTAAAATCACACATTTCAAAAATTGCATTTTTCTTTGGAATCTTTGATTCGCAATTTCCTAAACGTTTTTGATGCTTAAACACAAATATTCCTAGAAACTCTTTTGGGATTGTATTTCTGACAACCAGCTTTCGTAGAAATAGTATTCCTCTCATTTTGATGTGTTAAATGTCATGCTCTTTGCTTGTTTAAACATAGGTAGGCAATATATTTTTTCGGCCTAAAGATATTGACACACATAATGCACAACCATGTTTAAATGAGCATAGATAATGATATGACATAAAAGAATTATTTCTTAAAAAAGGGGTCACCTGAAATTACTCACCGGTTTATTGCGCTTGTTTTTTGCCTCATTTTCCTTTAGTTGGCGTACTTTGCTGCGAAGTAGTTTCATCAATCGATCATACTTATCATCTTCATTTTTATATCCTAAGAATATATATTTAGTTATCAAAAGGGAGAAGCAGCTTCAAATTCAGTATAATACTGTTTTTGAAACGGGTGCCAGACCTGCATATGATGTTTAATAAAATATCAATGGCTAGGTGTCGGTTCATGAAAATATATCAATCGACCTACCTATACCGGCTCATGATATCTTTGGGGAGAACCCATACTAATTCGAAGGGTCTACTTCACAGAAATTAATCATTTGAATTTGTATACCACAGTGTAGATACTATTCTGTACGCTATCTGGAAGTCGCGATTTTCGAAGCGATGATTTCCAACTGGCTAACAGGACGGTTTTGCCTACGGTGACTTTTCTCATCATTTGTTTACTCCTATATCTATAAAGTGCTTTGAACATCTTCAGGGTATGTATAGCATCATAAATATGAGTAACTGTAACAAAAACATGCATAAGAATATAAAATATACGTGTGCACCACACCAACTTGATAGAAAAAAGTGAAATCGATGGACAATTTTGCTCTCGTAGTACAAACCAAATAATCTTTTAATGCAAATATTTGCATCAGTTTACAGTTAAATATATACTGTTTCAATATTCTTTTCGTATTTAATAGAATATTCGTATTTCCCATAAAAAATATGTTTTCCTTGAGGATCCCAAAATAAATTACTGTACGATCAGTCTAGAACTGACTGTATTCTAGAAGCGATTTCAGATTTTTTGACTGTATGACCAGTCGTGATTTTGAAAAAGAAACAACGGCAATTTGAAGATATATACGTGTCTATGTGATATTATGAACTGTCCAGGGAATTATAACGTGTAATTTCTTTCATCAGACAATACAAATATATTTCTGATGATTTTTGTAGACGGCATTTGTATCGGAACATATATTTGGAATCCCTTTTCTCCTGGATTGGACCCCCTCTCCATTTAAAAATGGCTGGAACCCACAATGTATATTAAGTAGTTTATGAGGAGATGCACTTACAAAACCGACGAAACATATTGTACCGGTCCAACGGAAAGACGGACTTCATTATCACTATAAACCCCCGCTTTACAAAGTGATGTACAATTGAGTGTCAAAGAGACAGCTCTACATCCAAAACAAAGTGAAGGAACTGTGATCAATTATAGGCTACAGTACGGCCTCGAATGTGTGTAAATACATGCATTTTTATATAACAATTAAATCTGTGTGTTTGTACAATTTTAAGTATAACGGAGGACATTTCTGAAACTTATATATACAACAAACCTTCCTCTTATTTTAGCAACATTTAAACATCCTTATACTTAATGTAGTAAGTCGAGTACACACCATCAAGCTAAAACATGTTTCATAAGTTTTCAGGATGTGAATTTATTGAAATATATTTGTGTTATTTAGAAAAATGCCACCTTCTAATGTATCGTAAATAACTTTGAAATCACCCCTAGAATACAGTGAAATAAAGACTGATCATACAGTTTCAAAATATACAAGCGAGACTGATCGTACAGTGAGAAATTCAAACAAGTGTAATTTTCTTATTTCTGGCTTCAAAGATCTGGTTGAAACTTTTACCACCACTTGAAATATACTTCATTTAGTTAATTACGTCTGGTGTTTACGTTAATTTGTACACTAAGAGGGTAAAAAGATTGTTTTTGGGTTCACCGACTGATTTTCTTTAGTGATGCACTTGAAAATCTCTTGATTAGGGCAAAGATACGAATAATGAATGTGCTGAATTTAATTCTAAACCATTTGAGAATATCGATGTCAGCTGAATTAATCATTAAGCAATGTACAGATGATCAACTTACCGTTTAATTCAGTATTTCTATCAAATTTAAAATGTGATTCAAAAAGTTCTCGCTTCGAAAATCGCGACTTCCGGATAGTGTACAGAATAGTATCTACACTGTGTATACTATATTTATAAAGACACACTCCGAAATAAACAACATAGTTTAAAAGTTTACTTAATAATAAGTTTAATACAGATATCAAACGGACTATACTTGATATGACTTAATAACGTTGAATAGAAATACACGGGAAACATGTATACTTTTATTGCTGTGAGCATACTGCCATGAAATAAGAAGAAAATAAATAACATTACACAGTATTAATCAAATGAAATATTATCATATAAAGAACAGATGGTATTTAGTACAGTTTGATGGTTTAAAATACATTTACTACTTTCCAAATGCAAAAGGGAATATAAAGTTTACAAATAACATAGATATTATGAACATAAAAGAATTGATTAAATTAACTAACATAAAATCCATTCTGCTGATTTTAACTATCATACTGAAACTGTTTCACTTAACCTATGTAAATAATATTCCTTATTCACGATGTTGATGGTGTAAGGTGAAAAGGATGATAGAACGCCTAGTTAGAGAGACATTTGTTTTCAAAAACATAACGAAATTTTAAACGCCTCTTTAGTTATGAATGAATATAACTCATAGCGTATAATAAGCAATCGAAGTTCCTGTGATGACAAATTGTGAAGCGATTTTAAAACGAAAAACCAACGTCCTGAAAAATGCTAAAACAATAATTGAAAAACAAATATTGTAGACAGCACCCAACGACAGTCACTATAATAACATGTTCCTGGCTTGAAACAGGTACATTAGTTATGTTGATGGGTTGAACATTTTTGTGAGCGCACAATTACTAACTACTGTTAAAATTTTTACTAAATAATTGTTAACAAAGATCATTCATGATTGAATAAGGTTAGGATATTATGTATCAAATGAAAATTCGATTTTATATGCAGGACATGTACTTTTTATAGCTTAAATTAAATAATTTCTTTTTTATTTAGTATTAAATTATACTTGTTTTGTCATTTGTATGTTTTATTCTGCGGTGTACCATTTATGAAGCCTCTCAGCTGACCGCATTTGTTTATATTGAATTCTGCTTTTGTAAAATCTAGTTTTCAGCGCTTTTCTTGTTTTGAATGACATGAAAATATTGCTTAAATCATGGATATTAATTAATAAACATCTCATTTATTTCCTCGTGTTTTCTAATGTTTTTTATCGTAAATTTATTGTAATATTTTGCTAAAACTTCAGTACAAGTTTCTCTTAGCAGCCGAACTTTTGATTTTCATGGGGTTTTGTTTGTAGACACGTTAGACGAAACGCGCGCCTGGCGTACAAACATTTCATATAAAAATAAGGAGACGTGGTATGATTCCCAATGAGACAACTATGCACCAATTTGGCAAAGTTTAGGGGCCAGCTGAAACCCGCCTCCGGGGCGGGATTTTCTCGCTGTGTTGAAGACCCATTGGTGGCCTTCGGCTGTTTTCTAAGCTTTGGTCGGGTTGTTGTCTCATTCACACATTCCCCATTTCCAATCTCAATTTTAGTTATAGGTAACCGTATGTCCTTCAACAATGAGAAAAACCCATACCGTATAGTCGGCTTTAAAAGGCCCCGACATAAAAAATATGAAACAATTCAATTAGGTAAACAAACGGCCTAATTTATAACAAATCAATTTACGAAAAACAAATATGACAGATATGAACCAACGACAACCACTAAACTACAGGCTCCTAGCTTGGGACAGACATATAAGAATATGGCTGGGTTAAACATGTTTGTATGCTCTCAACCCTCCCCTAACCTAGGACAGTTGTGTCACAGCACAACATAAGAACAAATTATAAAAATCAGTTGAAAAAGGTTTAACTAATCAGATCAATAAAAACGAAAAATATCAAACAAAAAAACAGAGCCGGACGTGGCAGGGTATTCATCCATCCCTCATCCCTAACATCAAAAAGACACTAAGTACAGATCTGAGAGTACTCGCAGTTATTGACGGCTAGTTCTAAGCCAAAAACAACTAATAAAAAAATCATGTATCTAAGACTGGTATCTATGGAAAGATTATATACATCTAGAAAAAAAGTATTGCACCACCCTGATGTATTCACAAACCAACGTATTATAACATATAATATCATTTATGGCCCAAAAAGTTTCTAGATTATTTAATTTTGTTATTGACAAGACCAGGCATACATAAAATAAAAAGATAGAGTAAAAATAACGGAATTTAATTAAGTTCATTTTTATTAAGCAAGATTTTTGGTAAGTCTTGGGTACTAAAAATGTTCAATGTTTAACTATGGTTGCATACAAGTACAAAGTTCATTAGCTCGATTCCCTTTTTTGGAAAATGTCTATCAATGGTTAAAATAAACACAACAATGTTCAATATCGAGTGAAGTTTTCTTATTGTAAGCATCCAAAGATAAGATTGTCAATTTTTAGTACCCACGACATCCTCTTGTTTTTCGAAAAATAAAGTTATTTAAATTCATTATTTTTCTTAAGCCTTTTTAAATCATTTATGCCTATGGTCTTGTCATTAACAAAAGGGCATGATTAATATACTTTCGGGGTCATGAATAATATCATATGTTATAATATTTTGGTTTGTGAGAAACATCAGGGTGTCGCAATATATTTATGCAACTGTATAGAAAACATTAGAATCGTTTTCATAACAGCGTAGACAACCGTAAAACTTTTGTTGGTAATACTACTGAATAATTTACCTTTAACTTGTTTGTCATTGGCTATCGATAACAATGATTTTACGCTCACTCAGTCTGTCAGAGGCCTTCCAGTGGGGATTTAAATAATGATACACATTTCGATACATAAAATGAAACTTTCTTTTCACAAAACTTTAAAAGATTTGTTTTAAATATTTTTTTATACCATCACATACAACAGTTTCATTTTAAAGAATGATAATGTTCAGAGCTGATATCATTAAATAATCCAAAAATACGTTTATTCATTGTAAAAAACGTTTAAGTTGATGGGGTTAATTCACAAAATATCTTATTGATTACGAGAATAAGTACTTCTACGTTGTAATCATTTTAAAAGAGTGGCCTACTATTTATTCAACGCATACATGTAGGTTTTCTTTGTGAAGAGTTCCGGATAATTAAAAAATAATT